ACAAAAATAAAATTAAGCCTCAGCCTGTTTCAGCAGGTTAATCCATATTCAAATCCATAAAATAAAAACGCCCAGATTGACTTTTTATACGAGTATCAGTATCAGATCAGAACATCCCTAAAACAAAGTAGTAGTAGTAGTAATAAAAGTAGTACTCTCATTCACTTTTGGTCGTAGTAAATTGCAGCGTTTTGTTTCCATTGTTAAAAAGGTGAAAGTTGAAGTGTCTGAAAGGTGCTTGTGTTTGTACAGCTCCATTTTGCAGAGTTTTAGAACAGCTAAAGGACGAAATGTAGTGATTTTGATACAGAATTTAGCAGATTTTAAGTGATTTATTTGATTTGTTCATTTTTTATTTTTTTGCTGTTGTTGTGTATTTGGTTTGCTGAAAGTTGGGACGTAAACTCAAATTATATGTGCTGAAAATAAATCTCAGCGTTTTCAGCAGGTTCAGACCATAAAGAAAAGTACATTTTGCTTTTATGCAGACACACGCTCTCAAATGAAGTTCAAAATTCAAAAAGTTTATTGTCAATTCTTCATTCGTAACATATGAAGAATCGAAATTGAGTTTCTCACTCCCAAGCGTATAAATAAATAAATAAATAAATAAATAAATAAATAAAATAAAATAAAAAATAACATAAAATATAAAATAAAATTAAAAATTAAAAAAAAATAATAATATATAAAAAAATAAATAAATAAATAAATAAAATAAAAAATAAAATAAATAAAATAAAATAAAAAGTTCAAGTGTTCTTTAGGGAGACGCAGATAGTGAAGTAGAAGTAAAAAGTAAAATACAGATAGCTAAAAACTGTGCTTCTACTTTTGCATAATTACAGGTAAATTAGTAAAAAGTGTCACATAAAAACACATCACAAAAAATCTACTTAAAATGTACCTGTTTAAAACTGTACTTAAAGAGTAAAAATAAAGTATTTGCAGAGTGTTTTAGAACAATTAAAGGATGAAATGGAGTGATTTTGATACAAATTTTAGCAGATTTATTGAATTTCTTTAGCTGTTTTTGTAGTTTTTTGTGCTTGGTTTGCTAAAAATTTGGCCGAAAATTCCCGAAAATCAAATGTCGTAGTTGATCCTAAAGAGGTCGTTCCAGACTTTTGACCCAAAAGTCAGATTTTTAACAAATATGCACTAAAATACCAAATAAAAAATAAGCCTCGGCCTTTTCAGCAGGTTAATCCATATTCAAATCCATAAAATAAAAACGCCCAGATCGTTTTTTTATACGAGTATCAGTAAGTAGAACTCTCATTCACTTTTGGTCGTAGTAAATTGCAGCGTTTTGTTTCCATTGTTAAAAAAGGTGAAAGGTAAAGGTGCTCCTGTTTGTAAAGCTCCACACCTCACCACAAAATAAACACGTGAACACAAAAGACTTAAGGTCGAGGTTTCAGCAGGATTATTTTTATTTTATTTATTACACTTTACAAAACACGAAGTATTTTCAACAAAGTCTTGAGGATTACAAAAAAAACCCCAAAAAACTCCACTCTTCATCTGAGGAGAAAGAAATGTTTGTTTGTAAACGTTAAGTGACCAATGAGATCGTTCGTTTCATGTATCGCTCAAATAAACGAATCTGATTGGACGGTTGTGTTTGGGGCTGGGTCTGGATTGACCACGCGGTCCCTCCTAAAGCAGTGGTTTTTAGACCTGGTTTTAGACTTGGCTTAGTCCTGTTTTTAGACTTGGTTTAGAATGGTTGTAGACCTGGTTTAGACTTGTTTTAGACCTGTTTTTAGACCTGGTTTAGTCCTATTTTTAGACCTGGTGTAATCCTGTTTTTAGACCTGGTTTAGTCCTGGTTTTGTCCTGTTTTAGACCTGTTTTTAGACCTGGTTTAGTCCTGTTTTTAGACCTGGTTTAGTCCTGTTTTAGACTTGTTTTAGTCCTGTTTTTAGACCTGGTTTAGTCCTGTTTTTAGACCTGGTTTAGTCCTGTTTTAGACTTGTTTTAGTCCTGTTTTTAGACCTGGTTTAGTCCTGTTTTTAGACCTGGTTTAGTCCTGTTTTAGACTTGTTTTAGTCCTGTTTTTAGACCTGGTTTAGTCCTGTTTTTAGACCTGGTTTAGTCCTGTTTTAGACTTGTTTTAGTCCTGTTTTTAGACCTGGTTTAGTCCTGTTTTTAGACCTGGTTTAGTCCTGTTTTTAGTCCTGGTTTAGACCTGTTTTAGACCTGGTTTAGTCCTGTTTTTAGACCTGGTTTAGTCCTGTTTTAGACTTGTTTTAGTCCAGTTTTAGACTTGTTTTAGTCCTGTTTTAGACTTGTTTTAGTCCTGTTTTTAGACCTGGTTTAGTCCTGTTTTATTCCTGTTTTAGACATGTTTTTACACCTGATTTAGTCGTATTTTTGGACCTGGTTTAGTCCTATTTTTAGACCTGGTGTAGTCCTGTTTTTAGACCTGTTTTAGTCCTGTTTTTGTCCTGTTTTAGTCCTGTTTTTAGACCTGGTTTAGTCCTGTTTTTAGACCTGGTTTAGTCCTGTTTTAGACTTGTTTTAGTCCTGTTTTTAGACCTGGTTTAGTCCTGTTTTTAGACTTGGTTTAGTCCTGTTTTAGACTTGGTTTAGTCCTGTTTTAGACTTGGTTTAGTCCTGTTTAAGACTTGTTTTAGACCTGTTTATAGACCTGGTTTAGTCCTGTTTTTAGTCCTGGTTTAGACCTGTTTTAGACCTGGTTTAGTCCTGTTTTAGTCCTGTTTTATTCCTGTTTTAGACATATTTTTACACCTGATTTAGTCCTATTTTTAGACCTGGTTTAGTCCTATTTTTAGACCTGGTGTAGTTCTGGTTTAGTCCTGTTTTTAGACCCGGTTTAGTCCTGTTTTTGTCCTGTTTTAGACCTGTTTTTAGTCCTGGTTCAGTCCTGGTTTACATCTGGTTCAGTCCTGGTTTAGTCCTGGATCAGTTCTCTTTTTAGACCTGTTTTAGACCTGGTTTAGTCCTGTTTTAGACCTGGTTTAGACCTGTTTTATTCTTGTTTTTAGTTCTGGGATCAGTCCGTAAGGGTAAAAATTGGATGAAACAGAAAACTGACATTATCCTTTTTTTTTTTTTTTTTTTCATTTTTCATTTAAACACAAAATTGAAAACTGAAAAAACGAATCTTTATCTGTTTTTTCCATTTTGGTTTTGGAGACAAATAATGAAGAAAATAGTTTTTTTTTCTTTTCGTTTTCTTATTTTTGGTTTTATTTTGAAAAACGAATGAACGAATGTTACACGGATTCATATCAACCACTTTTAAATTTTTTATTATTATTATTATTTTTTTTAACAGTCTCAGGTTTTTGCTGTGTAGTTTTCAAGTTAACAGCTCCCGTCTTTTGTCTTTTATTCAGTAAAGATGAACAATTCCAGCCCTGAAATGATCCAATTCGTTCTAGTGAAGCTGTGTGGAGTTTAAAAACACTGGAGTGTTTATTCCTGTATTACCTCATGACATCACGAGGTGGAACGTGCAGGGTTTGTGTGAATGAAATAAAACACAACTCCAGGTGTGTTTGTGTCGAGGAAACATTAGAACACGTCTTGTATTTCCTCTTCGAAAGCTCGGCTCGTGAACATTTATATAAACCACGATTATGTCACATGAAACAGACTGAGGCGCCGCGCACTTCCTGTTCAGGTGGACACTTCCTGTTGTGTCTCTCCTGCTGCCCTGGTTTAGACCTGGTTTAGTCCTGGTTTAGTCCTGTTTTAGACCTGGTTTAGTCCTGATTTTAGACCTGTTTAGTCCTGATTTTAGACCTGTTTTAGTCCTGGTTCAGTCCTGGTTTAGACCTGGTTTAGTCCTGATTTTAGACCTGTTTTAGACTTCGCTTAGTCCTGTTTTTAGACTTTGTTTAGTTCTGTTTTTAGTCCTGTTTTAGTTCTGTTTTAGTCCTGGTTTAGTCCTGGTTTTAGACCTGGTTTAGTCCTGGTTTAGTCTGTGTCTCTGTGCACTTCCTGTTGTGTTTACGTGGTTTCCTGTTGTGTCTTGTGTTTTGTGTTTGTCTTTATTTCTCCTCTGACGTCTTTAACAGAAGTTCAGACTGAGTGTTTTATTTAGTCCTGAATAATCTGAACCGGGACTAAACCGGGACTGAACCAGGACTGAACCAAGTCTAAACCAGGACTGAACCGGGTCTAAACCGGGTCTAAACCGGGTCTAAACCAGGACTAAACCAGGACTGAACCAGGTCTAAACCAGGTCTAAACCGGGTCTAAACCGGGTCTAAACCAGGACTAAACCGGGTCTAAACCAGGACTGAACCAGGACTAAACCAGGACTGAACCGGCTCTAAAACAGGACTAAAACAGGACTGAACCAGGACTGAACCAGGACTAAACCGGATTTAAACCGGATCTAAACCGGGTCTAAACCGGGTCTAAACCAGGTCTAAACCAGGACTAAACCAGGACTAAAACCGGGTCTAAACCGGGTCTAAACCGGGTCTAAACCAGGACTGAACCAGGACTAAACCGGGTCTAAACCGGGTCTAAACCGGGTCTAAACCAGGACTGAACCAGGACTAAACCGGGTCTAAACCAGGACTAAACTGGCTCTAAAACAGGACTAAACCAGGACTAAACCAGGACAAGACCAGAACAAGACCAGGACAAATCCAGGACTGAACCGGGACTAAACAAGAACTAAACCAGGACTAAACAAGAACTAAACCAGGACTAAACAAGAACTAAACCAGGACTAAACCACCTTCAAAAGGGGCAAAATTCAGAGTCGCCTTTATGTTTAAATAAAATAAAATAGTCCTGTCAAAAATATCAACATACATTTTTTTTAATTGCGAACTAGTTTTTCAATAATACTTCAAAACTGTACTTTTACTTTTGTACTTCATTACTCTCCACCTCTGCCTGTGACTTGGCCTGTTTTTTCGTCTGCTTATCTCCATGGAAACAAGTTTAAAGCTCTACTGTGGGACATGAACGTCTGAACAAACCACTGAAAGCTGTTGTGTCGTTTGCAGGTTCAGAGCGGAGGTGCGGAGGGAGGAGGGCAGGTGAGGTGAGGGGAGCAGCGTCGCCTCCGTCTCCCCGCTGACCCCTAGTGGCCGCTCCCCAAACATGGCGGACCGCGCGTCTCTGGGCAAAGTGAGCGGCTCCACCGAATCCGTCGCCACGGTGACCAGCGAAGAGTTCGTCCTCGTCCAGTCGAACGCCGGGTCCCCGCAGAGCTCGGAGGGCAGGCCCCGGCTCAAGGTAAAAACTACGGGCCGATCGCGCGACGTCCCGGTCCGACGCCTGCCTGTTTCCACGGAGACGTCACCGCTCGGCCTGGAATGTTCCACAGTGTGACTTTAAACAGCTCTACTTTACGTTTATCCCATTACAGGTGGATTTACAGCTCAAAAATACCTCGAAAAACAAACATTCTGACACGTTCTCCACAGATCTGACCCGTAACTTGGTCTGCTTTGGTCTCCGTAAGGACAGAAAGGTTTAATGCCACACTTCGGAACATTCTAGACGAAGTAATGACATCTCCACCAGAAAAGTTACGCAATGCACTATTAAGTAAAAGCACAAATACTACAGCAAAGAAATACTTACTTACTTAATATTTACAAATTTTGTTCAACAGAAACATTTGAATTTTTATTATTTTTTTCTAGTTGTTTTTATTTGTATATTTTTTGTTTGCTTAAAGGTAGTTTTGGTCGGTCTTGGTCTCGAGACCGGCCTTGAGACTGTTTTTTTATGGTCTTGGTCTCTTCCTGGTCTTGACCGCATTTGGACTCGGTCTTGACTCTGTCTCGAGGTCTGACACTCGACGAGTGATAAAATGGAGATTTATAAAAACTTTGATTAAAAATGTGCAAAGATGGTCTCAGTTTGGTCTCGATGGGCTGTGGTCTCAGTCTTGTCTCAGTCTTGACCTTTAAAAGTCTTGGTCTTGACTCAGACTCGACCGCATTTGAACTCGGTCTTGTCTCGGACTCGACCTCGTTTGGATTCGGTCTTGTCTCAACCTCGACTGCGTTTGAACTCTGTCTCGTCTTGGACTTAATCGCCTTTGGACTTGGTCTCGTGCGTTTGGACTTGGTTTTGTCTTGGACTCGACCACGCTTGGACTCGGTCTTGTCTCAACCTCGACTGCGTTTGAACTCTGTCTCGTCTTGGACTTAATCGCCTTTGGACTTGGTCTCGTGCGTTTGGACTTGGTTTTGTCTTGGACTCGACCACGCTTGGACTCGGTCTTGTCTCAGTCTTGAAGGCGCTTGGACTCGATCTTGTCTCTTTCTTGAAGGTGCTTAGACTCGGTCTTTTCTCGGTCTTGAAGGTGCTTGGACTCGGTCTTGTCTCTTTCTTGAAGGTGCTTGGACTCGGTCTTTTCTCAGTCTTGAAGGTGCTTGGACTCAGTCTTGTCTCGGTCTTGAAGGTGCTTGGACTCGGTCTTGTCTCGGTCTTGAAGGCACTTGGACTCGATCTTGTCTCGGTCTTGAAGGCGCTTGGACTCGGTCTTGTCTCGGTCTTGTCTCGGTCTTGAAGGTGCTTGGACTCGGTCTTGTCTCGGTCTTGAAGGCGCTTGGACTCGGTCTTGTCTCGGTCTTGAAGGCGCTTGGACTCGGTCTTGTCTCGGTCTTGTCTCGGTCTTGAAGGCGCTTGGACTCGTCTTGTCTCGGTCTTGAAGGCGCTTGGACTCGGTCTTGTCTCGGTCTTGTCTCGGTCTTGAAGGCGCTTGGACTCGGTCTTGTCTCGGTCTTGAAGGTGCTTGGACTCAGTCTTGTCTCGATTTCGAGGTCTGACACTTGACGAGTGATAAAATGGAGACAGATTTATAAAAACCATTGATATATTTGTGCCAAAATAACTGTAAAATACAAATAAATGTCAAAAATGACAAAGATGGTCTTGATTTGGTCTGGATGGGCCGTGGTCTCGGTCTCGGTCTCGTCTCAGTCTTGGCCTTTAAAAGTCTTGGTCTTGCCCTGGTCTCTGGACTCTGTGGTCTAGGACAGGTCTTGGCCTTGACTACAACACTACTTAAAGCTGCGCTGTATAACTTTTTGGTTGAGGGTCCATCACCTGCTTGTTTCTATGGCAACGTCACTGCTCTGCCTGGAATGTTCCGCAGTGTGACTTTAAACAGCTCGACTTTACTTTACATTTATTCGATTACAGTTGTTTTTGTAGCTCAAAAGCACCTAGAAAAACTGACTGGGAGCGGGGTCGCCTCTCCACAGATCTGACCTGTAACTCAGTCTGGTTTGGTCTAGATTGATAGAAAAGCTTTAATGCCACACTGTGAAACATTCCAGACAAAGTAAAAACATCTGCATGGAGAAAAGCGTAAAAGTACAGATACCAGAGCAAAGAAATAAATACACAGCTAAAAGTAAAAGTACCACATGAAAAAATCGACTTGAGTAAAAGTATTAAAGTACCCGTTTAAAAATGTACTTAAAGAGTAAAAAGTATTAGTGTTTTTGAGATCTAATAAAGTTTTAAATGTAGTGATTTTAATCCAGATTTGACCTGAATTTTGTTCAACAGAAACAATCGAACTGATATTTTGTCCGAGCTGTTTTTCAAATGTAGTAAAGTAAAAAGTACATGTCTTTACTACTTTTACGTCATTATTTTCCACCGCTGCTGTAAACATCAGCGTCTGGACTCGCTGATGTCTTGTTTTGTTTTTATTCCTTATTTTCCGAACCAGAGACGATCACTTTTCTTGAAATGTTTAACCACAAACAGTGTCAGAAGTGTAAATAATGTAGTAATAATTATAATAACAGAGGATTAGTGAGTGTTTGTGTAACTCTTACTCATCTCTAACGTTCTTTTAGCCCTGCCCAGCTCCTCAACTCACACCCGTTTATTTTCTCTCACACTCGACTTAAACCACTGCAGTCGCTTTAATGTGAAAAGTAAATTATAAACTTCTTCGAAAGGTTGACCTACTTTTTTTTTTTTTTTACTTTTAACTTGTCCTTTTGTCTGAAGAAGGAACAAGTTAAGTTAAATTTTCACTTTGGACGCGGCACAGAGTCGTGACTTCACTGGCCGTGCGTGTCTCTGTCTACCAAATACTGTCCGGAATGTGTTAATGTACGACTTTAAACCTTTTTGTCGTCATGGAGACCAAACCGGACCAAGTTACAGGTCAGATCTGTGGAGAGGCGACCCCGCTCACAGTCAGGATGTCTGTTTTTCGAGGTATTTTTGAGCTCTAAAAGCACCTGTGATTGAATAAACGTAAAGTAGAGCTGTTTAAAGTCACACTGCGGAATATTCCAGGCTGAAACAAGAAGATGACAGACAGAAAGTTAGAAAGTGCACCTTTAGGAACCAAATTAAAAACCTGAAGGTTCAGTAAGTGCTTTCTGGAGGCTTGTCACCTGCATGGAAATAAAAAGTTCAAACCCCTCCATGGACGTAGATAAGTTTAATGCCACACTGCGGAGTATTACAATCCGTGTATCATTCGTTCATTCGTTTTTCAATGTAAAACCAAAAATAAGAAAATGAAAAAACAACAGTTTTCTTTGTTATTTGTCTCCAAAACCAAAATGAAAAAACGGATAACGATTCGTTTTTTCAGTTTTCGATTTTGTGTTTAAATGAAGAATGGAAAAAACGGATAACGGCCGTTTCCCATTTACGTGACTTCTGTGACTGCGATGCCGGACTTTTGCACCGCATACGGACTGAATCAGGACGGATCCAGGTCCGAGACCAGAGCAGGACTGAGACCGGGACAGAGCTGCTCTGGTCCTCCGCGCTCAAGAACCGCGGCTGGTTCCGAGGTGGAGCAAAGCCTCCGACTTTGGTTCAAATGGACCAGGTCCGGGACCAGACCGGGACCAAAGCGCTACTGAGACTGGGACCAGACCGGGACCAGAGCGGGCCTGAGACCGAGACAAGACCGAGACAAGACGAGACAAGACCGGGACCAGACCGGGACCAGACCGGAGGCTCAGAGCCCACGGCAGGACCGGAGCTCGAAGCTGAGGCTCGGACCCCGTGGAGGCTCAGAGTCAAAGCTCGGAGTCCGCCCTGGTCCCGCTCTGGTCCTGGTCTGGTCCCGGTCTCAGTCCCGCTCGGGTCTCGGTCTGGTCTCGGACCTGGATCAGTCCTGATTCAGTCCGTACGCGGTGCAAAAGTCTGGCATCGCAGTCACGGAAGTCACGTAAACGGGAAACGGTCGTTATCCGTTTTTTCCATTTTTCATTTAAACACAAAATCGAAAACTGAAAAAACGAATCGTTATCCGTTTTTTCATTTTGGTTTTGGAGACAAATAATGAAGAAAACTGTTGTTTTTTCGTTTTCTTATTTTTGGTTTTATATTGATTTATTACTGTGGAAGAACTTTTCCGTGCCGCACTAAAATCTCATGTTTTTCAGTGCTGTAAACAAAAACAAAAAAATGAATACAAACAAGTTATATTAAGTAAGTCTTCATTTATATATAGTGCTTTTCACAGACATTTTTGTCACGAAGACGCTTTACAGAGAATTATTCAGCATTATTCATTCACTCTATACTTGGTGATGTAAGCTACGGTTGTAGCCACAGCTGCCCTGGGACAGACTGACAGAAGTGCGGCTGCCATGTCAATCAGCGCTCTGACCACCACCATCACACACACACACCACTTTCATACTAGACAATGTGGCTGAAGTGTCTTGCCTAAGGACACAATGATTAAATTGATTGTTTTAATTGACCTTGAATATTAACTGTTCGTGGAGCCTGTAACATGTTTTTTTTTTGTGTTGATGGAGGAAACTCATTCAGACATGGGGAGAAACCTGCAATCTCCACACAAAAAGGCCTGGTCGACCTGTGGATCAAACCCAGGACCTTCTTGCTGTGAGGCATGAGTGCTAACCACTCAGTGACCGTGCCGCTGATTAGTCTATTTTTCTGGGAAGTGACACACTGTGGCTTTTATATGAGATACACCCATGTTAGGCACAGTTTGTACATAAAGTCATTTCAATTTCAATTTTAGATTCCT